CTTTCTCCCTCTGCCTAGCTTTCCTCCTCCACTTCCTCTCTTTCTCCCTCCCTTCCTTCTTCCCTTCCCCCTCCCATTCTTCTTTTCCTTCCTTTTTTGTCCCTTAGAGTCAAATGGGAACCTTTGCTCAGATTGCTGATTAGAATTATTTGTCTTGAATGTGTTAGAAACTGGGTCCATCTTACTATCAGTAAGAGACAGTAATGATTCCTTACTGTGGCAGAAACCAAGACCTAGATAAACAGTGTTGTTTAGCATCATTTTACTGTGAGGAGCAAGGTGTGTGGACTGGACTATGCAGCTAGTCTATCAGAGAGCAGCAGAGTACACAGAGGAGAGCTAAGATATGACATAGGTATTTTTGTTTGTCTCTTACTTAATTTGGAATATATTTAAAAGCTAGAATGTACCAGCACTCCTGGTTCATTTTATAAAATAAAATTCATTAAATTCTTACATGGATAATATGATAGAAAACATTTTGATGAACTGAAAATTCTCTGAACTTTTTCTTTGTTAGTTATTTCCCCTTCCAGAATGTTCCGTTTTGATTGATTGGACTTCAATTTATGAGTATGTGACTAGGCTGTTCAGAGCTCACTTTCAAGATGGATGTATGGTAACTGTAATACAATACCTTTTTTTTTTTTAATTAGAGGTTCTATCTATGCCAAGATAACTTGACCTTGTGTGATTCTTTTTTCTTGTTTAATTTTTGAGAAAAAGTTTAGTATATCTGACTCTTATTCTTTGAATAGTACTGGTTTCTTCTGAGCTAATATTGATTTTTCTTTAAGGTTATATTTTGCTGAAAATTGAAAGGATTTGTGAATAAGAAGGATTACTAATGCATTGTAATATTTTTTAAAAGCTATGATCTATCCATAACCCTGTAACCCCACAGTGATTTTCATGGACGTTCATTTCAATTGCCAGTTTTCACATTTATTATTTATTTTGTGAAACAGTGTGGAAACTTAAAATTGCTATATTCTTTCAAACATATGGACAGCTAGAAATATTCCTAGTAGCATCCATTGTTTGAAAGTATCTCTTTTAAATGCCCATGTTTGAAGCTCGGTGAAAGTATTAAAAAGTGAGACCATTGTTAATTGATCAAACCATGAGGACATAACTCTCATTTGTGGTGTTGTTATATAGTTAACTGTTTGGAGGCATTATGGAGGTCCTGGTTTTCTTTCTGTAGCTGTGGTAAAAACACTCTGACTAAAAGCAGCTTGGACAAGAAAAAATTTGGCTTATGTTTAGAAAACACAGTCCACTCTTAGGGGAATCAGGACAGAGATTCATGGCAAGAACTTGAAGCAGAAACCATGGAGGAATGCTGCTTGCTGGCTCTCTCACTGGTTTGCATTAAAGCTTTCTTTTTTTTTAAATTTTATTTTATAATTTAATTTAATTTTACATATCAGCCACGGATTCCCTTGTTCTCCCCCTCTTCCCCACAGCCCACCCCCCATTCCCATCTCCTCCATGGCAAAGACTCCCCTGAGGATTGAGTTCAACTTGGTAGATACAGTCCAAGCAGGTCCAGTCCCCTCCTCCCAGGCTGGGCCAAGTGTCCCTGTATAAGCCCCAGGTTCCAAACAGCCAGCACATGCACTGAGGAGAGGTCCCGGTCCCTCTGCCTGGATGCCTCCCAAACAGAGCAAGCCAATCAACTGTCTCACTTGTCCAGAGGGCCTGATCCAGTTGGGGCTCCTTGCACGGTCCAGGAACAACTTCCTGTGGATAACACTGCTAACAGTGGTCTGGGCACTCCCACATCAATCAAACAAGATACTCCCTCACAAACACGCCCATAGAAAAATGTGATGAAGTTAATTGTTTGATTGGCCTTCCTTTCTCAGGAACCAAGCCTAGAAAAGATAACAAGTGTGCTTGGAAGCAATGGCAATTCTGGATGATGCTTGTGTGTGGTTGTGAAGTGGAGGCTGTGGTTCCCAGGTGCCTAGAGACAACAAGACCATTGAGGGACCTGCAATGCACCGGGCTCAGCACAAGCTTATCTTCTTTGAGTCCGTCTGAAGGAGAAACTGTAGTGAGCATCAGTTCCATACTTTCTCACCAAGGCTTAGCTGAGTTCAATGGCTGTAAGTTTGAATCCTGCCATGTTCCTGCCATAATTTGCACTGTGAACTCAATGAAAAAGGCAATCATTCTCTCCCTCAGTCCCCACATCATAAAAAGATAATCATAATTCTTGTCTATGGGGGTTATCAGGAGACCGAAATAAGTCATATCTCTAAAGTGTAGAACATGTTTTCAAAACTATTAAGGATTGTCTATCCATTGAATGAGGAAATTGACCAAAATGGACAACATACTCAGTCACAAAGCAAGTCTCAACCAATACAAGAAAATTGAAATAACCCTCTGCAGCCCATCAGACCACTATGGATTGATTAAAGCTGGATTTCAACATGGACAGAAACAACAAATCTTACAAAATCATGAAAACTGAACAGTTCTCTGCTGAAAGACTATTGTGTCAAGGCAGAAATAAAGAAATTAAAGAGTTCCTGGAATTCAATAAAAATAAATGTACATCATACCCAAACTTATGGGACATCATGAAAGCAGTGCTAAGAAGAAATTTAATAGCACTAAGGGTCTCCACACAGAATTTGGAGAGATCTCATACTAGCAACTTAACAGCACACCCGAAAGCTCTAGAACAAAAAGAACCAAAGGCGCCCAAGAGGAGTAGATGGCAGGAAATAATCAAACTGAGGTGCTGAAATCAATAAAATAGAAACAAAGAGAACAATACAAAGAATCAGTGAAACAGAGCTGGTTCTTTGACAAAATCATCAAGACAAACCGTTATCCAAACTAAATAAAGGCAGAGAGAGAATATCCAAATTAACAAAATCAGAAATGAAAAGGGAGACAAAGCACAGACACCCAGGGAATCCAAAGAATCATTAGATCATCCTTCAAAAACTGTACTCACAATATTGGAAAGTATAAAAGAAATAGACAGATTACTTGATAGATATCACTTAGCAAAGTTAAATCAAGATCAGATAAACAATTTAAATAGAATTACAACCCCTAAGGAAAAAGAGGCAGTCACTAAAAGTCTCCCAACTCCCCTGCCAAAAACAGAAAAACAACACCAGAGAGTTTTAATGAAGAATTCTACCATACTTAAAACGAAGAGTTAATATCTATATTCTCCAAATTATTCCATAAAATAGAAACAGAAGGAGCATTGCCAAATTTATTTTATGAGGCCATAGTCACCATAATACCCAAACCACACAAAGACTCAACAAAGAAAGATTATTAAATACATATATAATAACACATAGAATTGTATGCTACTAAAATATTTTTATATTGATAAACAAAGATTAGAATATAATTCATAATTTATTTATTTTCCCATTTAAGATTCATTTTTCAGACAGTTCCATGTATCTCAGGCTGACCTTGAGCTCGCTGTGTATCTGAGACTGACCTTGAATGTCTGATCCTCCTGAGTTCATTTTTGGAGTGCTGAGATGACAGGTACACACCATGCCCAGCTCCCTCAAGAGTTCTAAAGTGAAGGTACAGTGTCAGTTTTAAAAACCAGTTTTACGAAAAATTCCAGCCATGTAAGTGAACTATTCAGCCATGCAATATATAGTGGCATGTTTGGTTCAATTCTATAGCCTTGTGAGTTATTGAAATGGATATTGTGAATTATTCATTAAACATGTGCATCTACACACACATTGGTCTTCATTAAGTGTTCTAGTCTTAGTTACTCTGAAGACTGTCACCTCTCTGTTTTCAAACTTTATATGTATTTCAACTAAAGCCCCCCTTCTTTGGATTCCCTCTGGTCAAAACATACATGTTCAGGTCATTGAGATGCGGAGGTGTATAGAGTTAGAATAGATTTGATTGTGGCAGAGGGTGGGTTTCTCACTCCAATAACTGACTTGAATTTCAATCCCAGAGCATAAGAAAGGTTGATCTTTCAGAGATTCATAAAGTTTTTGGAAATGGGTGTAGCTAGAGTTTTCCTGCCTGGCCCACAGTCAGGATAAATCTCTCTCACCTGCCAGTCCCACAGCCATCAGACCCAACCAAGTAAACACAGAGACTTATATTGGTTACAAACTGTATGGCCATGGCAGGCTTCTTTCTAACTGTTCTTATAGCTTAATTTAATCCATTTCCATTAATCTATACCTTGCCACATGGCTCGTGGCTTACCGGCATCTTCACATGCTATTTGTCATCGTGGTGGCTGGCAGTGTCTCTCTGACTCAGCCTTCCACTTCCCAGCTTTATTCTCCTCCTTGTCCCGCCTACACTTCCTGCCTAGCCAATGGCCAATCAGTGTTTTATTTATTGACTAATCAGCAACACATTTGCCATACAGACCATCCCACAGCAAATGGGTCTTTTCAGTTTTAACCTTTTTGGACATTTTAAGACGTAAACAGTCCCCATGTATTAGATTTATTGCAGAAAATATCTGTCTAGACTGAAATCAATAAAGCCTGACATCATTTATTCTATTCTGAAAAATAACAAGATATCATTTGTAGTGATACACACCCCAAAAGATGTGTTGAGGGTGTCAGATGGTAATTCAATCATCTGTACATAAAGCATGGCCTGATGCATATTCAATCCTCTTCTCCAATACATATAACAGTCTCTTTCCACTCAGCTCATGGCCAAGTTTGGATTATCCAGGAGAGGGAACATTTTCTGTTTGAAATTAATTATTGATTTTTAGTGATACTTATTTATGGGGTACGGTAAGATGACTTGATGTATGTTTACCTTGTGGAAAAGCAAACCATGGCCATTAGCACTGCTGCCTTTGTATATTAATAAGGGTGCCAATACGCAATCCTTGTGCATATTTATGAAAGATGGGGTGAAGTTTCAAAGAACACAGACAGCATGAGCTGGCCTACTTGGGATAAATTTCATATCTTCAGGTTTTGTGTTCCTCTCTTTTCAAACAGGTGACAGCTGTGAACTGCTGTTGTAGAAAAACAGATTCCATCTTCCTACAAATACATCTGAGCAGTTTCTCTGGCTTCTGAGTGAGTAGATAGATGCCTTGAATCATTATTCTCACAAAGAGACTTTCACTTAGTTTCTGCAGTATTTCATGCTGATTAGTTTTCGGGACTCTGTACCCTTTCCCTTCTCTATCAAGGATTTTCTGTTACAGACCCAGGGTTAAACCTCATGCATCATTCTGCTGTGAGATGTTCTCTATGCTGTGAATGTGTTGCTCTGATTAGCTAATAAATAAAGTTGGCCAGTAGCCAGGCAGGAAGTATAGGAAGGACAAAGAGAAAGGAGAATTCTGGGAAGAAGAAGGCTGAGTCAGGAGATGCCACCAGCCTCTGCGATGAGAAGCAGATGTTAAGATACCGGTAAGCCACGAGCCACGTGGCAACTTATAGATTAATACAAATGGGTCAATTTAAAATATAAGAACTAGGGTTGGGGATTTAACTCAGTGGTAGAGTGCTTGCCTAGCAAGCACAAGGCCCTGGGTTCGATCCTCAGCTCCAAAAAGAAAAAAAAAAGATATAAGAACTAGATAGCAAGAAGCCTGCCATGGCCATACAGTTTATAAGTAATATAAGTCTCTGTGTATTTACTTGGCTGTGGGACTGGCGGGTGAGAGAGATGTGTCCTGACCATGGGCCAGGCAGGACCAGGAAAACTTCAGCTATATCATTCTGCTCTCATGGGATATTTAGCACTTTCCAAACATCCCTATCAACAAACCACAATAACTACCAAATAAGTATGATTTTTTTCTTAATCACCACTGAATTTCACTTCTGTTTCCCTAATGCACAGACTTCTCTAACACAGTCTTCATTCTTAACTCTACTTCTCCCTCTACTCTCAGTGCTGTAGCTCAGGAAGCCATCACAGAAGGACTTTAAGGTCTTCCAGTACCTGCTGAACAATGTAGGACCAGCATGAGGACACTGGGGAAGAAAGTGGGTATCATCCTTTTCTGCTTGTTTTGGTACATGATTCATAAATTAGCCAATTGATTTTGACTCTGTATTTCATTCAGACTTTGTTATTTCTTTTAGGAAGAACTTCTCAAATTTCTGTACTGCTATTCTCTCTTATAGTAAACTTCATAAGTCCATATTACTTTTTCTATATTCTTTTCCATATTCCTCTTTCTTCAATGAATTCTTAACAAGCTTGTTCTATGTTCTGTGGTCTGAATATTTTCCTAGCATTAGAATTGAATACCATCATGTAAATAACATGTTTGTTAAGTCCATGGTTCCAATGTCTGGAATATCCAAGGTTTAGGAGCTAGCTGCATAGATGAGGACCTTCTTGTTGGTGCAGTACTGATGTGTGGTATAGGGTAATACATGTAAGAGACAGAACAAAATATTATATCAAGACAACTAATTAGTCAATTAATTCATTAACCCTTTAATTTATTGATTCATTCATGAATGTAAAGTCCTCATGATTTAAACAACTCTTTAAGATTCTCCTCTTAATAGTTTAAGTGAGTTAAATGGGGACATTTACATCATAGCCACCAAACAGTTTAGCATTAACAATTTTGTTAACCACCTCTCTCTCTCTGTTTGTCTCTGTCTGTATTTGTCTCTCTCCTTATCACTCATTTCCACCAATCTCTTGATATTTTCCTTTTTCTTCATTTATAGCTTTTGTCACTGTTCTTCTGCATCCCCAAACACATTTACACCTTTGTTCTCTATTTACAAAATCTCTGTGCAAGCATATAAAAATACTTAACAATTGTGGTTCTCAATGTATAAGTTTTCTGTGATTGCTAACATATTATTTTGAAATCTATTTGAGAAGGTAGCTAAATGAATACCATAAATTTCTCATTATATTTGAAAAATAATTTATCATATACTATTGTTAAAATTGCCTGATCTTAGATAAAAAGGGAACTTACTGAACACAGAACACCTATAGCTCTTCCCAGAGCACACCCATATCTACAGTAGAAACATTTCTTTCTTAGTGAAGAAATAGAGCAAAGCTTTTTGTTGCAGACTTGTGTCTCTGAAGGTCATGAGAGAATGAATCCAATTCACTGCCTTAATACTTGAACATGAATGCTCATTTGTCATCTCCAGAGATAGTCCAATATTGCATGTGATACTATCAATCCCTTTATATCAATGAGAAAACTATGAACTCAGTAAGGTTATCCAGCACACTTCACCCTATGGAGCATTTAGACTCAGATAGTCTAACTGGAAACTGTTCTTCCTTGATTTCAGGGTGTCCTTTCTAGAAACCATGGTTCAGATCATTCGCATTTTACTTAGCTATTTAATTTTATTTTTCTATATGTATATTTCATATGTCAATCAGAGGTAGAGATCATGTCTCATATTTCAGTGTTCTTTATGGGAATCTGATAAGATTATAGTAAATGCTCATGAATATTATGATTATTGTTTCACAGATTTAAAAACAATGAGCATTTCAATACAGAGAAATTATGTTCATAGAAGTGGAAATATGTGTTGTGTACTGAGTATGAAAGATAAATTTTCACAAGACAGTCTGGATCTGCAAACAGATGCTAACTAAAAAAATTATCTACTTACATACTCAATTATCAAATCTGTATGCACCAACAAATGCTCTGAATTTAGGGGGAAAATGTTGCTTCACATGTTTGATTTGACTAAACTCTGATTCTCCTTAAAAGCTGAAAGTCTTGGCTTTGCTGACTTGCATTCAGGAGATAAAATGCTTCTAATGTGTCTCATGGCCAGCTTTTCCCTGGAATCTACCTGCTGAAATGAGAGGTGGGTGTCCCGAGGACAGACTACAAGAACAGCCATGGCAAGTTTTTATGTACTATTCAAGGAAGAGAGAAAGAACAATGTTGGTGTATTGGATGCAGAAAATGGAAAACATTCCATTTGCATGGGTTTTCTTATCAGTCCAACCATAGCAGAGATTGACTAGAAACAAAATAAGTTTTAGCAGCGTTTTAATAAGTATGTTAGAATTAAGTTTTAATATAAATTATAAAATGTATTTTTATCAAAATTCTCACACTACCATTTCAGAAAAATCCAGGTTATAACAACATAGAAGTCTTTAAAGAAGAATTGAATTTGATGTTAAAAGTAAAAATTGAATTGTGGCTTTTAGTATTAAATTAGCTTATCATAAATAATTATTTAAAAATATATAACAGGATAGATTTTTATTTTACAACAGAGAATAATCAATTACAGACAGAAACAAAAGAAAATATTGAAAATGTCTGAGCAAAGTAGAATATAGATTCTTCTTGAGGTCAGCTTTGCCTTTGGTTTGACAGTTGACCTAGTTTATTTAGAAAGGTGAGCCACAGTAACCTTTTAGGAAGAAAAATAAGATGTTTTCCTACCATTTAGTCAATCGACTAATGAATTATTGCCAACAGAAATAATTACAAAATCAATATTAGCTGAAATAGACAATTACTGCACACCATCACTTTGCAAACATGACACTCTGGTTATTCTTCATTTGGATGTAAAGCGATGTGCCGCCAATTTTTCGTCTCTAATGTGCAGTGAAAAAATAGGTGGAGTGTCTTGAGTAGGGAAGGGGCCAATGTGAATAGAGTCTCCTCCATGAGCCCATACCTTAGGCATTACTGCTGGTAAAAGAAACTCTATGGCATCATTACTCTGTTTGTGGAAGGAGATGCCTATAAAGGTATAATAAATATACCCAGTAACAAATAAAAGCAGACCTATTAGAATGTATCTAACTTCTCAATGGAGAATCTAAAACAAGAAGGTCCTGGATAGATATTCTTCAGACTGTGAGAGACCGAAGATGCTAGCTAGACTACTGTACCAGAAAAACTTTCTATCACCATAGATGGAGAAAATAAAATATTCCACGACAAAGTCAAATTTAATCAATATCTATTTACAAATCCAGCCCTATAGAAAGTACTAGAAGGAAAATTCCAACCTGAGAAAGTTAAATAGGCAAATGAAAACACAGGAAATAAGTAATTTCAGACCAGAAAAATCAACAGAAGCAAGCACACACACACACACACACACACACACACACACACACACACACACACACACAGCACCACCACCACCATCACCACCACCACCACCAACAACAAAAAAAGATAGGATTCAACAATCATTGGTCATTGATATCTCTCAATATTAATGGTAACAATCCACCAATAAAAAGACACAGACTAATGGAGTGGATGTAAAAACAGGATCCATCCTTTGGCTGCATACAAGAAAGACACCTCACCATCAAGGACTGACATTACCTCAGGGTAAAGTAATGGAAAAAGATATCCTAAGAAAATGGACCCAAGAATCAATATGTTGTAGCCATTTTAATATCTAATAAAATAGACTTCAAACCAAAACTTTTCAAAAGCCATAGGGAAGAACATCACATAATCATGAAAGGAAAGATTCAACAAGATGACCTTCCAGTTCTTAACATCTATGCTCCAAACACAAGGACAGCTGCTTTTGTAAAAGAAACATGACTACAACTTAAATTACAAAGTGACCATAATACACTGAGGAGAGACTTCTATACCCAACTTTTACCAATGCACAGGTCATCCAGACAAAAATTAAACAGAGAAATACTCCAGCTAACAAACCAAATGGTTCTCACAGTTATTTACAGACATTTCACTCAAACACAAAAGAATATAAATTCTTTTCTACACCTCATGAAATTTCTCTAAAACTGACCTCATACTCTGTCAAAAACAAGTCTCAACAGATACAAGAAAACTGAAATAACACCCTGCATCTTATCAAACCACTACAAAATAAAGCTGTATATCTACAACAGCAGAAACAACAGAAGGCTTATAAACTCATAGAATGGGAACAAATCCCCATTAAATGAAAAATTTGTTAAGATAAAATAAAGAAATTATAGACTTTCTAGAATTCAGGGGAAATGAATACATACCATAGCCAACCTTATGGGATACAGTGAAAGTGGTGATAAGAGGAAAGTTCATAGCACTAAGTGCTACACAAAAAACTTGGAGAGATCTCATACTAGCAACTGAACAGTAACCCTAAAATCTCTAAATCAAAAAGAAGCAAGCACACCAAGAGGAGCAGAGTTTACAAAATGTCAAATTGAGGGCTGAAGTCAATAAAACAGAAACGCAGTGAACCATACAATGATTCAGTGAATCAAATAATTGGTTCTTGAGAAAGCCAAAACTCTAGACAAACCCTTATCCAGATTATCTAGAATATCTAATTTAATAAAATTAGAAATTAAAATGGGAACATAACAACAGACACTGAGGAACACCAGAGAACCATAAGGACATACTTTAAAAACCTGTACTCCACCAAATTGTAAAATCTAATAGAAATGGATAATTTTCTGAATACATACCACTACCAATATTGTGTCAAGATCAAATAAACAAATTAAATAAATTTATAACCTCTAGTGAAATAGAAGCACTTTTTAAATGTGTCACCTCTAAAAACAAAAGCCAAGGGCCAGAATTTTAGCACAAAATTCTACCAGACTTTCAAAGACAAGCTAATATCAATTCTCATCAAATTATTCCACAAGATAGAAACAGAATAAACATTTCCAAAATCATTTTATGAGCCCACTGTTACCCTGATTCCCTAACCACAGAAAGACTCAACAAAGAGAGAATGACATGCCAATTCTCCTCATGTATATAGACAAAAAATACTCAATAAAATATTTGCAAACCTAATCAAAGAACATATGAAAAAGATCATCTTCCATGATCAAGTAGGCTTCATGCCAGACATACAGAGCTGTTTGAACATGTGAAAGTCAGTAAATATAATCCACCATATAAATAAACTGAAAGAAAAAAAAACCACATGATCATCTCATTAGATGCTGAAAAAGGCTTTGAGAAAATCCAACACCCTTCATGATAAAAAGTTCTGGAGAGATTAGGGATACA